TTGTTCATCAGTTTATGTTGTTCATTATATTCTATAAATGAGTGAGATTATGTGGTATTTATCTTTCTCTGACTGGCTTATTTCACTTAGCATAATGCTCTCCAGTTCCATCCATGCTGTTGCAAATGGTAAGAACTCCTTCTTTTTTACTGAAGCATAGTATTCCATTGTGTAGATGCACCACTGTTTTTTAATCCACTCACCTATGGATGGGCACTTAGGCTGTTTCCAAATCTTAGCTGTGGTGAATTGTGCTGCTATGAACATAGGGGTGCATATATCCTTTAACAACAGAAATTTATTGTCACAATTCTGGAGGCTGGAAGTCTAAGACTAAGGTGTTGGCAGAGTCAGTTTTTCTGAGGCCTCTGTCTTGGGTTTGTAGGTGGTTGTCTTCTCCCTGTGTCTCCCATTGGTCTTCCCTTTGTGTATGTCTGTGCCCTAATGCCCTCTTCTTATAAGGACAACAGTCATATAGGATTAAGGCTCACCCACCTGACCTTATTTTAATCTAATTACCTCTTTACAGGCTCTGTCTCCTAATACAGTCACACTGAGGTCCTGGGGGTTAGGACCTCAGCATAGGAATTTTGGGGGGAATACAATTCAGCCTCTAACAGGCTCCCTCCCTGGACAGTCATTGGGGTGAGCCCCCCCAATGGCCAGTACCACAGCCCTCACTAAGCTCTTCGGAGGAAAATCTAGTGCCTTCCAGTCCTTCTCACCTCTCCCTCCCGGCTTTCTCGCTGCAGCTGATCGGGACCCTGGTTCTGTCAGTGGGGATCTATGCAGAGGTCGAGCGGCAGAAATACAAAACCCTCGAAAGTGCCTTTCTGGCCCCAGCCATTATCCTCATCCTCCTGGGAGTCATCATGTTCATTGTCTCCTTCGTCGGCGTGCTGGCCTCCCTTCGAGACAACCTGTGCCTTCTTCAAGCGGTGAGTTGGCCCCACGCACCCCTCAGCTGGTGGGTGGCAGGCCCTTGGAGTCCCGGGAGAGGCAGGGAGACTGGCCCAGGCCTCCAGGCAGCTCTCCTGGAGGGTTTCCCGGACCAGCCTCTCTGCCCACGGTGGCCACCTCCACTTCTGCATATAAAGGCTGATTTGAATACTAGCCTCTCACTCACTTACACCCTCTGTGGGTCCAGACTTCAGTTGGAAAGGGTAGAAACCACATTTAAATGAGAGCAAGTAAAACAACAACCAGTCGGTAGTGAGTTCTTAGCGCACATAACCAGCAAACCCACCCTGGGTCCAGGGGTGCAGGCTGCGCCCGGGGCTCTCTCCCCCGCACCTCCCAGCTGGACACCGGGCATTGCCCTTCTTTTCCCTGGGCGGTGGTCGCCAGCAGCCCCAGGCCAACAGAGTCCTTGTGGCTCTTGACCCCAGGGAGTCTTTCTTGGTAACTCTGGCCCCAATCCCAGGACTCAGAAGGCCTGCCCTGGGGCCAGGGGGTGGGGCCAGCCCTCCTGCCCACCTTACTATGGGATGAAGGGTGGGTTTTCAAAGCTGGGGGTACCAGATAGGCAGATGCATTTGCTCTGCACCCACACTGTCTTCTCACATGGGAGGCCCCTGAAAGCCCTATAAGCAGGGCCCCGGTGCTGCCTGAGGCTGGGATTTGCTGGCCTCAGTTTGGACAATGCTGGTACAGTGATGAAGCGGAGGGGTGGGGTGCATGTTCTCTGTCTCACTCTCCTCACCACCCTGGGAGTCTGGGAAGCCACTTGCGAGGGGCTCTGCCCGCACAGCTGGAAATGCTGCCCTGCCCGTGAAGCCAGGCCTGTCCCCTCTGGAGCAGCCTGAGCGAGGCCCAGCTCTCCTGTGGGGTTGAGGGAGGCGGAGGGCGGGGTGGGATGCTTTTCCATCTCGGTCCCTGGGACAAACCTCGGTAACAGTCGGGCTTGGACAGCTGAGTCCCTTTTCCTGACCACGGGCTCCAAAGACGGGCTTTCCCTCAGAACATCCACATCCTGTGTCCTCACAGGAGGAAGGGCGAGCGGCCCGGGAGGCTCTGTCATCTGACAGCGATGACTCCTGATGCGCTTGTCCTCGGAGCTGACGGCGCTTCCTCTGCCCCTCTAGGCGAATCTCTGAATTTTGTTTTTCAGTTTATGTACATCCTTGGGATCTGCCTCATAATCGAGCTCGTCGGTGGCGTGGTGGCCTTGCTCTTCCGGAACCAGGTGGGCCTGGGGTGCATTTATCAGCCACAAGCATGCCGGGCCCTACTGTGTGTGCCCCGGGCTGTAAAACTGGGCGTGCGCAGAGAAGAGAGCAGGGCATACAATGCCTCGTTTATTTTGCTGGGGAGACGGGCACTGAAAGGGGAAACCAGAGAGCAAGAAATCAACACAGGGTGATGGGAGAGTGCCTGGGTGCAGAATGGGAGGACAATGACGGAATAACGAGAGGGAGCCTACCAGGTGAGGCTCAGGGGAGCAGATACCCAGGCAGAGGGAGCCACTGAGGCAGAACGGAGCTTGTCCAGTGTGTGGACCAGTGTGGATGCACTTGGCTGATGGGCGTAAGAGATGGGGAGGGATGGAAGGCGGAGCTGCAGTGCCGGCCAGTGCAGGTCACGTGGGTTCTCAGGGGCCAAGGTGTAGGAGGTGGGAATTTTCTCCAAAGGCAGTAGGAAGCCTCTGCAGAGTTGTGTGGGGGAAGTGATGTGATCTGGCTTTCATTTCACTCACTGCGGGGAGACCAGGGGTTTGGCGTACATTTTGGAGGCACTGTCTATAGGACTTCGTTGTGCAGGGATATCAGAGTGAGGGTGAGAAAGGCTGAAAGGACCATGTGGCAGCAAACCTACTGGAAGGGTTTGCAGAATCAGGAGCCCTTTGAGTGGGTTCTCAGGACTCCTGGTCTCCCACTCTTTCCATCACAGATGCCATGTAGCCTCATACGAGCTGTGTGACCTTGGGCAAGTACTTCACCTCTTGGGAGCCCCTGGCTCCTTAGGGGTCATGGTTCCCAGCTCATGGAGTTCGGGCTGAGGATTTGATGAGAGAATGCGTGTGAAGAACTTGGCCCCTAGTGCACCCTCATTACATATGAGCTCCTTTGCCCTGAAGCCTGAAGAAGAGAAGGGACTTGCCCACGGTCCCACAGGAAGCCAGTGGCTGCGCGGGGCTGACGGCCAGCTCGGAGATCCGGAGATCGTCATTTCTCCCATCATCTGGTTCCTTTGTCTTCCTCCGGGCTTGGCGTTGGAGGCAGGGCTTGAGGAGTAGGGCCTGTTCTCGGAAACTCAGTTTTCTCTGTCCGCCCCCTGCCCCCACCCTCACCACCCAGACTGTTTTGTTCCTGGCACTCTGGGGCATCACTGTTGGACGGTGCATCAGGGAGGCAGCCAAATTGTCCATCTTGTCAGAAGTTGAGCCCAAGGCAGCAGTCACTGTCCCAGACACAAAGTTCCCAGACACCACGTTGTGCGGATCCCTCAAATGACCCCGAGTCTGACTCCTGCCAAAGTCTTCACTGGCTCAGGTGGGAGCAGGAAGCAGCCTGTTCTGCCTGGGTCTCCTATGGATGGACCCTAACCACAGGCCTGTCTACACCCCTGGAACCCAGGGGTCTTCGTGTTTTATGAGCCCCGGGAGAGGGGAGGGGAGATTCCCATCATATTGATGAAGTCAGTGAGGCACAGAGAGGTTAGGAAGCCCTCCCAAGAGCACACAGCAAGACAGAGGCAGCTCAGTCCTTTTTTCAATTCTATTTTTTCTATCTCCCCTACCCCCCAGGTTTATTGAGATATAATTGACAAATAAAACTGTAATATATTTAAACTCTACAATGTGATGATTTGCTATACATAAACATTGTGAAATGATCACCACAATCAAGTTAAATAACACCTCCATCACCTCACACGGTTAACTTTTGTGTGGGTGAGAATGTTTAAGATCTATCCTCTTAGCAAACTTTAAGTATATAATACAGTATTGTTAGCTCTAGTGACCATGATGCAAATTAGATCCTCAGAACTTATTCATCTTAACACGGAAAGTTTATACCCTCTGACCAACACCTCCCCATTTACACCCACCCCCAGTCCCTGGCAACAGCTTTTCTACTCTCTGGTTCTATGGATTCAACTTTCTTCTTCTTTTTAGATTCCACATATAAGTGATGCCAAAGAGTCCATACAGTATTTGTCTTTCTCTGTCTGGCTTATTTCACTTAGCATAATGTCCTCCAGGTTCATCCATGTTGAAACATATGGCAGGATTGCCTTCCTTTTTATGGCTGAATAATATTCCATTGTATATGTGTGTGTGCTATATATGCACAATACAATATACATGCTGTGTTTTTCTTTACCACATTCATCTGTTGACAGACATGTGGATTTTTTTTATATCTTGGTTATTGTGAATAATGCTGCAGTGAACATGGGAGTTCTCTTCATGGCAGGTAGCTCTTTTAGATAGTGATTTTATTTCCTTCAGATGTCTATCCAGAAGTGGGATTGTGGGATCATATGGTAGTTCATATGGTTGTTTAATTTTGTGAGGAAACTTCATACTGTTTTCCATAATGCTTGCCCCAGTTGACATTCCCACTAGCAGTGTACAAAGGTTCCCTTTTCTCCTCAGCAACATTTGTCATTTCTTGTCTTTTTCTTAATAGACATTCATGTGAGATGATAGCTCATTGTAGTTTTGCTTTGCATTTCCCTGATGATTAGTGATGCTGAGCATCTTTTCATTTACCTGTTGGCCATTTGTCTGTCTTTTTTTGGAAAAATATCTGTTCAAATCTTCTGCCCATTATTTAATTAGATTATTATTATTATTGCTATGGGGTTGCAAGGGCTCTGTATATATTTTAGATATTAACCCCTTATCAGATATATTATTTGCAAATATTTTCTCCCATTCTGTAGGTTGTTTTTTTCATTTTTCTGATCATTTCCTTTGCTGTGCTTAAACCTTTTAATTTGATGTAGTCCCACTTGTTTATTTTTGCTTTGGTTGCCTATGCTTTTGGTGTCAGATAAAAAAAATTATTACCAAGACCAATGTCAAGGAACTTACTCCCTATGTTTTCTTGTACAAGTGTTATGACTTTAGGTCTTACTTTTAAGTCTTTTGTCCATTTTGAGTTGATTTTTGTAAGTTGTATGACATAAGGGTCTAGTTTCATTTTTTTTTTTTTGCATGTGGATACAGTTTTCTCAGTCCCATTTACTTTTCCCCTTTGTGTACTCCTGGCACCTTCGTTGAAAATTAGTTGACTATATATTTCTAGGCTCTCCATTCTGTTCCATTGATCTGTTTTTTAGATAATACCATACTGTTTTGATAACTATAGCTTTGTAATATAGTTTGAATTCAGGAAATGTGATGCCTTTAGCTTCACTTTTCTTGCTCATCATTACTGTAGCTATTTGGGGTCTGTTGTGGTTCTATACAAATTTTAGGATTTTTTTCCTATTTCTGTGGAAAATGCCATTGAAATTTTATAGGGATTGCACTGAACCTATAGATTGCTCTGGGTAGTATGGACATTTTAATAATGTTATTTCTTTCAATCCATGAACAAGGGATATCTTTCCAATTATTTGTGCTGTCTTCAATTTCTTCCAGTGTTTTATAGTTTTCAGTGTACAAGTCTTACACATCCTTGTTTAAATTTATCCCTAAGTATTTTATTATTTTTTATGCTATTGTTAGATGTTATTGTTTTCTTAATTTCTGTTTTTTGGATAGCCCATTGTTAGTGTGTAGAAATGCAACTGATTTTTGAATGTTGTTTTTTGTATCCTGCAACTTTACTGAATTTGTTTATCAGTTCTCAGTTTTTTGCTAGAGTCTTGAGGATTTTCTATATATAACCTCATGTCACCTGCAAACAGACAATTTTACTTCTTTTTCTCTAATTTGGATGCCTTTTATTTCTCTTTCTTGCCTAACTTTCTTGCTTTGACTAGGATTTCCAGTACTATGTTAAATAGAAGGGGTGAGCGTGGGCATGGTGTCTCTTCCTGGTCTTAGAGGAAACGTTTTTAGCTTTTCACTTTGAGTATGATGTTAGCTGTGGACTTGTCATGTATGGCCTTTATTATGTTGAGATACATTCTTACTATACCTAATTTGTTGAGAGTTTTTATCAGCAAGGATATTGAATTTAGTCAAATGCTTTTCTGCATCTATTGAGATGATCATATGATTTTTATCTTTCATTCTATTAATGTGGTATATCACATGGATTGGGTGGCAGATGTTGAATCATCATTGTGTGTGAGGGATAAATCCCACTTGATCATGATTTTGTAATTCTATTGATTTTGGTTCGCTAATATTTTGTTGATGATTTTTGCAACTATGTTCATCAGGGATGTTAGCTGGTATTTTTTGTGTGTGGTTTCCTTGTTGGCTTTGGTGTCAGTGCACTGCTGGCCTCGTAAATGAGTTTGGAAGTGTTCCCTTGTCTTCAGTGCTTGGGAATAATTTGAGAAGGGTCGGTATTAATTCTTCTTTAAACACTTGGTAGAATTTACCAGTGAAGCCATCTTGTCCTGGACTTTTCTTTATTGGGAGACTTCTCATCACTGATTCAAGTTCTTTACTCATTATTGGTCTGTTCGGATTTCCTATTTCTTCAGGATTCAGTCTTGGTTGGTTGTATGTTTCTAGGAATTTATTTGTTTCTTCTAAGTTATCTAGTTTGTTGGTGTATAAGTATTTATAACAGTCTCTTATGATCTTTTTGTATTTCTGTGACATCAGTTGTAACGTCTCCTCTTTATTTTTGTAGCATCTCTTTCATTTCTGATTTTATTTATTTAAATATTATTTTTTTTCATAGTTTAGCTTTGTCAATTTTGTTTATGTTTTTCAAAAACCCAACTCTTAGCTTTATTGATCTCTTTAAATTGTCTTTTTTAGTCTCTATTTCATTTGTTTTCACTCTGATCTTTGCTATTTTCTTCATTCTAACTTCAGGCTTAGTTTGTTTTTCTAGTTCTGTGAGGTATAAAGTTAGATTATTTATTTGAGATCTTTCTCCCCCTTAATGTAGAAAGAATCACTATAAACATTATCACTATAAACTTCCCTCTTAGAACTACTTAAGTGTTGGTATGTTGTGCTTAGATTTTAATTTGTCTTGTGATTTTTTTATTTCCCTTTTGATTTCTTATTTGCCTCGTTGGTTGGTTTCCCAACCTAGTCTTGCT